TGTGCGCAGATGGAAGGCTGACAGGCAGGTAGGCCATCCAGTTATTTTAGCCGGGCCGGCTAAAATGATTGGTCGTGCTGTTTACAGTACTACGGCTTCCACAGATGACACTTTTTTATGGATTTTTTGTCAAAGCACTTAAGATATTCATTGCTATCGGGATGTTAAGAGCATTCCATGGAATATAACAAAAAGTGTATCTCGAGCCAGTTTCTCAAACGTACCTACCCCACCTTTAAGCGTGTCTATTTTATTGCTTATGAGTTTAACTTTTGTTTTGTAAGGTTCAAGGTTAGGTTATTTGTATAGCACATTTTAAGACACAGAGGCAATTCAAAGTGCTTCACATAGGCATTTAACACATAATAATTCAAAACAAAACAAACACACAAAAAAAAGACAATTCATAAAAGCGATAAAATACTGGCTGCAGCTAAAAGTGCAATGATAAGGCACGGTTAAAGGATCTCAGGATAGGCTGCATCAAAAATAAAGGTTTGTAATGCAAGTTCATTAATGTGCCCTTTCTTCTTTCAAAAATAACAGTTTTGCTTTGAGAACTTACATGATATATCTGTTTAGCCCATAACATGTACATTTGGAGGGAATTTCAGGGTGTGATATTATATGGTGTATATTTAGCCATCAGGTGTCTTTAGCCCGGGCTGCTCATCCATTTCAATATCCCCCCCGCGTTCCCAGCTGACACTGAACTAAACCAAAACTAAACTGAACTAATCATTGACAATCTTCTCTGCCCTGAAAGGCATCCAGCTGTCCTAATGTAACTGCCACTTTTAATTTCCATCTGCCAGGAGGTGGCAAGTAAAGATAGAATGATGGGAGCTGATTAGTGGGAAGAGAGCCAGTTTGACAGATTAAAGTCTGGCCGGCCAGGAATGCAAGGACATTGACATCCTTGGCAACATTCGGAAGAAGCAGTATGTGAATACAAATATTTTTGTTTTCCTGCATCCGGACACAATCGCAGGGTTTCTAGATAGCGTTCTTTCTTCCTAGGTGTTTTCGGTTTCTCATTGATTTACTTCTACTTAAAAGCCTAATCTTCTTCGCAGAGCCTCCATTCAGACATGTTATGCTTGCACACACCAATGCCACCTAGGGGTCGAGACGAACCGGTTTGTATTGTTCACCCTCTATCTACGTGACCCGCCCCCTCTATCAGACCTCATTTACCTTCACACTCCTTTGATCGGTAAGGGCTTATCAGTCGATTTGTCTCAGTGACCCAATCACAAGGCCTCGATCTGCATGCTTACATCGTCAAGGACGTAAACAACAACCACCGGCATGCAAATAGACTCCCAAATAGCGAGAGGATTACAAATGTGCAATGTTATAAGACCTGGAATATTTATATTCTGTGGGATTTTGGTAAAGATACGGAAATATATTTTTGGTTTCCAGTCCATTACTATTTCTGAAGGCTACCATGTTATCAAAGGAGACATCTATTCACTACACCTGATTTATGTTTCCTAGGTCGGGAGTTGTTTGTCTTTGTTTGCACTATTGGTTCATTATGGGTTGTTATGTGCCCCCCCCTCCTCCCATTGGTTTGCTGTGATAGTCAATTTACATAAAGAGCCAAGGTGCATCATGGCCTGTATCTGCAGAAACACAAAGGACAAAGTGGTCTGTGTTGCTGATTTATTTTCTGAACAATGAGTATCTTTGTTTTCTTGCCTTCTTTTTACGTTGTGTATGTTTTGGTGCTTTAGGGGGAGTGATCTAGTGTGCCAACATGTGCTCCAATATAGAATCATAAAGATCATCTAACCCAGAGGTTTTAACATTAATTCAACTAATTATAATTTGTTTGTTTGTACAAACAAACACTGTACAATTTTACAGAGTGTAAATATGGTTGACACTAATTATCACCCTTTGTCAAATGAATGTCAGAAAATAGTCAGTCAAAAACCTGAATATCTTCAGTTTTATATGATTTAAAACTGAGAAAACCAGGAAATATCAGAAAATCGGTTATCTTGGCGTTTTTTGAAAATCTGTGAGAATAAACAGCTGTCCTACAAATTAAAGTGCGTATATTTCAGGTGTGTGTGCTATGAGGTATAATCACCAAGGCGTTAATTACTGACAATTGTTATTTTAGCACAACGATTCTTAATCTCTTTTTAATGGCACGTCACCTACACTCAAGTATACACACACACACACACACACACACACACACACACACACACACACACACACACACACACACACACACACACACACACATACACACACACAAAACTTGTTTACCTTTAAAAACAATCATTATGGTAATCCATGGAGATAGGCTTTCACATTTTTCTGCTTATTTTCTTTAATTATCAAAGTCAGAAATGTTGTTTTTGTTAAATTCTTAAATGCAGGAATGTATGTGCTAAACTATTTGTTATTAAAAAGGCTGAGTGAGGGTGTGCATGTGGGTGTCTGAGAAATGCTGTTTGTTTTGGGTATTAAGTGAGGATTTGTGTGTTTATCCCAATTTACATAAATACAATGACCTTTACTCGGTCGATTCCTATTTTTACAAAGCTCAAAACACACAAAGGAAACACAGAATCATACATCTCTTTCCTTGGATAAAAAGAAAAGTAAAGTGCAGAAGATCACTTTGAAAGTGTTGTGAAACAAAAATAGTACATTATTCTTAGAAAAATTGCCGCACACGTGTCGGTCCCTGAGCTCCTGTTCTCGCCCATGGTTCATAAACCTGAGATGTATTCCATCAAAGGCAGCTCGCACAACAAGCCTATTCCCTAATTGGTGCTTGAGCTTTTAAATTGCCTCTGTTTTCTCACAGCCAAGCAGTCTCCCCAAATGGTAATTGGAAAAATGCCTCCTCTTAAAAAAGAAAAATGGCACCAAAGTGCTGCATTAAGCGTGTTTCCCTCTCTCCGTGCTCTCAAGCTTCTCGCAAGTAATACTCTTTTTCAACAATATATTATCAGAAATACACAAAACATGTCTCTGAAGTGTTTGGCTTGAAACACTAAACAGATCATTGTAGCACGCCATAAACCCCTCTGTTTCAACCCTGTTCAAAAGTGCTGATTCTGTGTCTGTACCTTTAAATGCAAATGAGCTGCTGCTGGCCACGCCCCTCTGAGAAGTGATTGATATAATAATAATTGTTCTGGGAGGAGATTCAGGTGATAAGGTGGGCGGGTGTTACCTTGTTTGGTAATGGTTGCCCAACCTAAAGAACTGTTGTGACATCACAAAGTCACACATCAGCTCCTTTTTTAGACAGGTTTTCAAATAGATGGATCAGGAAAAAAAGAGAGAGACTCTTTTTCCCTGAAACATGAGCCAGACAAAGGTCTTTGACCCAAACATAGTGTCTCTAACCTCAATACACATCTAAGCATGTTGGTCAAGTATACATTTCAGCTTTCACTGAAATATTCCTTTCTTAGCAAAATCATTTTACTGTAAGAAATATTAGGGTTTAAATCAAGTCCCATAAAGTGAGAGGGAAAAAAATCCTGAAGGTCAATAATAGCCCATAAAAGCAATAGTAAATGTTTCATAGTTCATTAGAGGCCTTCCCATTCGCCTTCTTTGCTACAGGGAACATTCAACTGTTTGTAGTTTGTAGCTTTGGTTCCTGCTTATGTATCCAAACTAAAAAGTAAGGAAGTCTCCACAAGGGAGATTTGGGAACACATTAATGCTTTGTTGGTTTGCCATAATTCTAATGAAGGGGAACAATCTCAGTTAAGCTTTATTTTTGATTCTCTGACACCCTAGTCTCTTAATGAGGAACATGGACATCATTGTTGTTGTCATAGTTTTACACATGATGTTTTAGTTTTGTTTGTTATAGGTTAATTTAGTTTGAGTTGCCTTTATACATTTGCTTACATTTGTATGTCAACTATAAGCGTAATCCTTTGGGGAGATGTTGAAATGAATGTTGTTGTGTGCAAATGTGTGTGTGGGTATATATGAAAAAAACGTTTTATTGTATTGATTAATACTATCAATGCAAATGTTCAACAACTTTATCAGTATTAACAGGCATTTCAAGCAATCAGCTGACTATACTGTAAAAACAAGCCTTGCAGGCCACATTTGAGCCTTTGTCAATGCTCAAAAACAGACATTCATAGAAAGATTTGGTCTAATTTTGGACTAAAGCATCTGCCAATTAATGTCATACCTGATGTGTTTTGTTACACTTAAGCAGAGATGGGGTCGTTACTAAAAAAAAGTAATATATTACATATTACATATTACTTTTAAAAAAAGTATATATATTACACTACTTCGTTACTCTCTACATAAAGTAACTCGTTACTTTACTCGTTACTTTACTCGTTACTTTACTCGCAGGGCCGGCCCGCCCCTCCCTACAGGCAGATCACGCAGACTGCTAAAGTTTCAAATGTTCTCTTTAGTTCAGTTTCCATTGTCGCATAAGACTGATCCAGATACTGTAGCTCTGACTATGGCTGTCCTCTGTCTCCTGCTATCTGTATTTTGCGCAGTATATCTCTGAACGATGCGATGGTGATTCCACTGTGCAAATGGGCAACATTACCTCTACTATGAAGGATGCTACAAGCCTGTCCATCTCAGCCATGTTTATGCAGCACTGCACGCGGAGATGTGGACGCGCAAGTCGCGCAGATTCCGTACATATAAACCTGCGGCGGAAACCCCTCTTGTCTGTCAGTGTGATTATGACTGATTTTATAAAAGTAACGAAGTAACGCGTGTCGGGGCAATGTTAGTAACTGTAGTGTGATTACTGAATTATAAAAGTAACGCGTTACACTACTCCGTTACCGACAAAAGTAATATTATTACAGTAACGCGTTACTTTGTAACGCATTACACCCAACTCTGCACTTAAGTCAGCAACAACACGAGTTGAATAAATCCCCATTTCTTTTATCTATGAAGCCATCTTTAGCCAGAAGCAACATAATCTTATATAAACTTATCCTTCTGTCTATCAGGTAACTCTCCTTCCGAGGAGTCAGAAGAGCGCGAGAAGGAGCCGAGGACGCTGACCTACCCCGCCTACATCGCCAGCCTGCTGGACACAGGAGCAAAGCGCATGGCCGCCGGCGTCCGCATGGACTGCAACAGCCAGGGCCAGTGCCCGCGCTCCTGCCACCTCTGCCACATGAGCCCCAGGACGTCCCAGGGGAGGCAGCAGTCTGAGCCCGTCCTGCTGCAGATCACCAAGGCTGCACCCATCTATGAACTGGTGTCCAACAATGAGACCTACCAGGTACTGTGTTCATCCATAACAATCTGGGACAGTCTAATGCCTGAACATGTCAGACAGAATCCAATATAGTAATTGATGTGACATCTTTTATCTTTCTCCTGACCAGTGAAATATTAAAGGAAGCATTTATTGTCGACTACAATAGTGTGGGGGCAACAAATCATTACATTTGTTATAGTTTGATTGATATTGGTCGGATGAGTTTGGTTACATAGATATGGGAGGCATAGTTAAAATCAGAGAGGGTTGCTGTATGGAGTTGACAGACCCTTTTTGTTAGCTGTGAGTATTCATGTATTATTTCTGTGCACATTATTATATGTTAAACATTTTTCATTATATTAAGATATAATTGAAGCAGTTTTGTCTTCGGCCTTTCAGCAACTTTTGTTTGTTCACCTAGATTGAAAACCTTCCCAGGATTTTTCGTCATCTAAACTGCCTTCTTTGCAGATAATAATATCAACATTTGCAGCATTTGAATGGATATTTGAATATTAAGCCACAGTAACTCTACAGGTGTTCTGTGCCTGTCTGTGGGTGACCCTTCATGGCCAAACCCCCCCCTGGCCTCATTATGGAAGAGGTCACAGAAAGTGAAAGTCCTTTCCTTTTTGAGTATTATGTCTTACTCGGCTGGCAGCATGCTGTGCCATAATCCGCCATACTGTGCTGTGACTTATTTAAGTCCATCGATAGCTTATGTTGTTACAGTTTCTGCTCGTCTAGCAGGAAGTGATGTCGATACGGTGCTGTCCACGCTCCTGGGGGGGGCAGGCTTTCATCTGAACCTCAGGGTGTTGATACTGTTATCGGAAAGGGCTGTTTGTTGGTTGTGTTACTGCTGGTATAGACACAATGCACAGGCAACATTTTGAATAATGTTTTCTTTCTTATGGCTTTAAAAAGCATTGTGATATTATACAAAGGGGCGTAAATACATGTGTATACTTCATAAAATGAAAGTATTAGTTTTGCATATAACAATACCAAGACTTTTTTGATGCTCCCAAATAAGAAGATTCATTCATGTACAACAGGACGACATTTTAACATACATTTATTTACTTTAGAATTGTTTAGTTATATTTGTTGAAATACTCATACAGTATACCCACAACAAATCCATAGTAAATGCTCTGAAAAAAATGGCAAACAAACGTCTGCTATGGATAAAGAAAGGATTTTTGTAACCGAATTTGAAGTATAAACTTCAAATTAAATTGTTAATTTAGAATAGAAAGTCATAGTTATTAATTCATTTAACACTCCTCCAATTAACAATTTGATTTGAACTGGGATTCCACTTTTTGTGTCTCTCTTCGTAGTCTCTCCAGGAGGCGATGATGAGCATGCTGTGGTGTTCGGCAAAAGGTGATGTCATCGATGACTGGTGTCGCTGTGATTCCAGCGCATTTGGCACAGACGGACTCCCCACCTGCGCCCCACTGCCACATCCTTTGTAAGTAACTCTAACATAAACCTTTCTCAAACACAGACCATCCATAATTTCACTGGCAGAACTCTATCTCATGGTGTCAAGTAATGTGCCATTGTGATCCATGTGTATACAGACAATCTAATATTACAGCCATGGTGATAATACTGAATGCGGGATGGGGGTGGGGTCGGGGGTTGATAGGTTGTCTACGTAGTCTACGTACAGGGGTTCATCGAGTGATAATGTTTCTATGATTTCAGTAGTGGCTGATGTATTTATCCTGTCAGTATTGGGAGTGCTAATCAATTAAATGAGCTGCTTTATTGAATGGTTGGCATGAAAACCTCTGCATACATGGGTGTTAATTGGGGCTGTCAATGTTAACATGTAAACCCCCACAATTGATTACTTCTTATAATTCCAAAGCACATTTTTACCATGAATTGCACAGCAGCAAAAAAGTGACTGGAGACGACCAGAGATCAACAAGCATCTCTGACACCAATGTAGAAACATAGTGCTTGCTAAGCATTAGAGATAATATGCCCTGTGCACATTATCCATAGGGGAATCACAGTGGCTCTCTGTAAAAGCCACTTTGTCAGATTTCTTTTTTGACTTAATTCGGTAAAAAACCCTCTGATTTCGCTTACCAGTTTTGCATACGTTTCTTTATTACAGCACCAAACATGTATTTATTTTGTTTCCCCCGAAAATACAAGTAATATAAACATGTGATTAATCATGATTATTATTGGGGTTCAATTTGTATCAACACCACTAATGTTATACTTCACTTAAGCCAAGTCAGACGTCAATGAGTACAATAGCTTTATTTTCTGTTAACGAAAGTGTTTGTGACATTGCAGAATGTGTTTTTATTAGGTTGTGCAAAACACAAGGGAAAATGTTAGCACCTCATCATTGTGATGAGACCACTTTTGCTTCACTCAGTGGTTCTGCATCTCTGTCATTCCTGTGCCAGGCTGAAGCTGTCCTACACCTACGAGCCCAGCAGCTCATTGGTCATCATGGAATGGAACCACACTGAGCCACCAATCGGCGTGCGCATCGTTGATTACCTCATTAGCCAGGAGAAGGTGACGGAGAGGATGGATCACTCCAAAGTCGAGACAGGTGCGTCCGCATACAACTACACACATTATGGGTTTGGCAGTTGACTACAAACAAGGCACAGTTGGAAAATTGTGAGAAAGGGTAATGTTGCCAGGTAACCATTGATGCCAGTTCGATTAGTGAAAAAGATCAGTCATATATATATATAACTATTCGGATGTCTTCACTTATGCGTTTTAGATACAAATCCTGACCGTCAGCTTGCAGAAAGTGCAAAAATATGTATTTTGTTGTTGTCAGCAACTGTCACTGAACCAGCAAGTGGGAGTGTTGATGTTTTGGTTGTGTACCACTTTGAGATGGGTAATGAGTAAGTCGCTTGGCCTCGATTTGTATGGGCAGCTGCTGGCCAGTGTTCATTATTTATTCTGGCTTGAACCATAAACCCGCCAATTTGTCAACACCATGTGGCCACATACGCCTAATTTGTTTTATCTAGTCAGCCACCTGGAAGAAAGCCCCGTCCAATGTTGAAAAAGGACAGATTTTGTCATTCTGCAGTACCACAGTTTGTTCATTGCATCAACCCCCTTACAGTATGTTGCTGTTGTGACATGAAACTATTGGAAGTCAAACTTTTTATATCATAAGAGTGAGTGAGCCCTGTGATTTGGGAAACTTCTAGAGAAGTTAGCAATACATTAGCTCAACATTACCAGGGGTCATCTTAAACAAATATATTCAATAAAACTTTACATACATGCCCTGTTTTTTATATCTCTTGTTATAGGCCTTATTCAGTTGTAGTTTTGAAGGCCTCCACAAGATGGTGTTCACCAGTAATGATAATAATGGAAAACTGAATAATTTATTTAAAAATGTTTTGATACATTCGTTAGACTGATTTCTGAAACAGATTTTCACAAAATGAAAAAAGTAATTGAATGAAATTAATGAAAAAAGTTTTTTTTCAAATTGGTAAATGACAGTACGATATATATATATGTTTTGTACAGTAATTGGCAACATTTTTCAACAAAAAAGTGCAAAAAACCTTGCTTTGTTTCACACAACACTGGATTTTATTGTTTTCAAAGCATTTTTTTTTTAATGTGTTTTTAAGGTTAATAGTGATTTTCTTGCTAAGCTATGTTTTCCCTCATGTTTTCACTAAAAGCAGGAAATCATATAAGCAGCCACAGGAGCAGCAGGAGTGTGTAGCTTTGTCATCCATAACGGAGAGCATAGCTTATTAAACTGGACATATACGAGAGGAAGCTGGCAAAACAGGGCAAGTTTATTTTAGCACTAATGACCCAATCCATAATGCAGACTGTTACAGTTCCCTGTGAGTACCAACGTTTGTTGTAGCTTAATGAGTGAATAAACTGCATTAGTCAGAACACTGAGGATCATTAATCAATGCAGCAGATTCAGAAGGGAGAGGAAAGCAGATGAGCATTTTCTTCAATCGTGTTATTATAGAGAGAATGAGCTATAGGTTCAGCAGTAATGCTCATTTTCAGCTTTACAGGATTTTATACTCTTAGGAGAATAAACTTGTACCATAACGTCTGATTTTTTAAAGTTCCAGCTTCAGACTTATATAAAAAAAACGATTTACCTCTCATTTCAATGGAGCTGTGTTTGGAACTCTGTAAATAAGGGAATAAGAGCCACTCTCCCTCTCGTCTTGTATTGTAAGCAGTAAAGTATATTTCATATGTCGGGGATGCAAAGGCATGAAACAGTTAAAACCATGATCAGATGGAATTTTAATATTATATACTACGGGCATTGGGGATGAACGTTCAGGATCTCTGCATATCTAGTTAAAATATTTTACTGATAAAGTTACCAAACATTTTTTTTAAAGTTGTGCGAGCACCAGGTACTAACATACAGTACATTCCGCAATTGAGATTAGCTAATAAGAAACCATTATATTTCATTTTATATCAAAATATATTATTTAGTTTTATATCAAAATATATATTACAACATTTAAATATAGGACGAGATCCAGGTGATGAGGTGGGAAAGTGTTACCTTGGTTGGTTATTGGCTAATGGTTACACAACCCAATAAATCATTGTGACATCACAAAGTGGCCAGAATTAGATCAGCAAACTTTCAGGTTTTTATGTAAATGAGTCAGGACAAAAAGAGAGATAATCTTTATAAACTTTCCGAATATCTTAACACAGAGGGGACACATATTTATTTATAAATAGCATGAACAAGTAGATTTTGCATAATAGGTGACCTTTAAACACAAAAGAAAGTAGAAGCACTTCATCATCTTCAAACAAGTCTCTTCAGGTCAGGGCCTCATGACAAACCTACAGGCTCTTAGTGCTTTAGTAGTATTTTCATTTGTCCAAAGTGATATACATTTACTGTTTTTTTGGCGGGCTTTTGAGGCCCTTCCAGATTTGAGGCCCAGTGACAGATACCCACTTTGGATGGTTTAATGTCGGCTTATGTTCAAGAAAGAAATGGAACCATTCATCAGTGGAACTATAGTGACTTTTACCTAAATGCAGAGAAACATTTCGGCGAGTCACAATGAAATATCGCTTTAATGGCAAACCTGACCTTTCAGCTTCTGTTTTGGAATCTGGAACATAATTTCTTCCTGTGCCCTTTGAACAAATCATCTCTGTCAGCTCGCCCTAACCACTGTGCTGCATCTTCCAACAAAACAAATGTTTGTCCCATCCACTAATCTGTGCTGTCGGAGCGATAAACAGAGAAAATGAAATCAGTGGAGGCTCTTGGATCCGGCGTGACTTTCTGTGGTGGAGGGAGCATTTTAGCGCTGCAGTGCCATGTTTACAACGTTTTTAAAAAGAGTTCTTATCATAAAACCGAATAAAAAGTACTGTGGTTCTACATCAAAGTTTACAGCTTTTGGAAAGAGTTAATCAAGATCAGACAAAGGGAAACAAGTAATTACTTCTAAAATAACCATCTGATGTCTCTCTGTTAGTTAGTGGTTTATATAGCAGATACAGTGAGGCATATTCCAATCAGATAAACAGTCTTACAGCAAAAGGTCTTGTATCTATCAAGATGCTGTAATTGTCATGGAAGTTATGGCAGTGTTTTCATGGAAATCTGCATTGGTACTGGGCAACACACGAGGGAAATGGGGCACAGGAATATTCCACTTACTGGTTTGTTTCTGTTGTGCTGATCTTTTCCAGTTTACCGGTTCCGTTGCACAATAAGATGTGCGTTTCCATGGTGTCAAGCACCGTCCTCATTAAACTAATGGAGGTTACTTTCTTGCACAATGTCCTAATATCCCCTCAGCTCCACAAGGATCATTTTTGAAAATTGTCTGGACAGTTCTTTAGCTAATCACTAGCCCTAAAGGATGGCACAGTTATTATGTCCCATACTCAGTGGAAAACAGACCCCATTCACTTCATTAATTGCTTCAAAACAAACTCTCTGACACACCATTTGCCGGGGAGATGTAATTCAGCACCGCAGAGTTGAAGCAGAGGACGAATGTATCAGTCTCTACTTGTTTGTTGCCTTCAGCCCCATTTTGTATGTTCTCCTCTTTAGGAAATACATGACATTGCACTGTTAAAATAGCTGAGTTAACAACTACTCTAGTTTAGCTAGTTGGGCAGTTTTGGGGTGTGAATATGCCTTTTTATATATAATATGCTCTTCAATATGTTTGTATTTGTTTTGCTTACTAAGATTTATTTTTTGACATAAAGCCAGCAAGTATGTAAATACCAGTGTAGTATTTTTTTTGCAGAAACCGAATATAATATTCGTAACTGTGTTTTTTTACGAGTATGTAATCAAATGAAACTATGAATGGGGAGCAGGTATTTCATGAGTTACACTACTGTTTATTGCACCACCATGTCTACGGTAGCTCAAATAGGACAAACAAAACTCTGGCTCTATAGCGCCTTTCAAGCCTAAAGGTATACGTGTTTCTATCTTATAAAACAGTGTTGGTCACAGTCACTCCTATTAGTTTATAATACTGGGCTATGCCTGGAGTATTGTTAGATGCAGTACGTGAGAGATTAGAATCTGGTCCAATGAATACAAAAGTCCTGTACCTTCCTGCTGCAGCACATTGATGCTGGCAATGAATGAAGTCCACCCAGTGTTGCAAAAGACCTCCACATCAGATCAGGGCTCTCAAAGTGCAGAGCAGCTGTTTTGACTTTGGGGTCATTCGGGGATATATGTTGTTGTGCTGTTGGTTGCACTACGTGAGAATCCAATGTTCCAAGTTCACTTTGGAAGGACTTGAAGTACTGTACATCAAAGCTACTCTTATGGGAAAAAAACGTTTTATATGAGGTGCTTCTTGGTAAAATAAATGTCTTAAACATCAATACTCATTATTTTCTTACTAAAAGAGTTTTTGATATGCCACAAAATAGAATATGTGAAAAACATCTGTTGCTTTAGAGTTGCAAATATCTTCATAGATATAACTTTCTATGCCTGCTTGGCCTCAGATGCTTGTTTTGTGCATACTGTGCACTGCAGCTGAAGGTTGATAATGGGTTCAAAATGTTTGTTCAATGGATATTGTTGCAACTGGGCGGCTTGTTAAGCACTTCACCAACAGCTTGCCTGCATCCAAGACCCTAATCTTATCAGTTATAAATGTATGATCTAAATTAGCATCCCTATCGCAGTTTGGTTCTGGGCATAAGATGTACAAGTAATTATTTCACATCAAAGAAACATTCATTTTCAAGTATTTGGACTACTTATGTTGTAAATGTATTATATATTTACTTAACGCACAACATCTATTGCACGTCTGTCCGTCCTGGGAGAGGTATCCCTCCTCTGTTGCTCTCCCAGAGGTTTCTTCAATTTTTCCATTAACTGTTGGGTTCTTTTGGGAGTTTTTCCTTGTCCCATGCGAGGGTCCAAGGACAGAGGGTGTCGTATCGTATTCATATTCTGTACAAACTGTAAAGTCCACTGAGACAAATGTAAAATGTGTGATATTGGGCTATATAAATCAGCTTGATTGATTGATTGAAGAGATTGAATAGACC